TATATCATTGCTTAAAGATGAAGATTTACAATAATATGATTAACTTCCTAGATTTGATCCCAAAAGGTTGATTCTGTTCATCTGGATGTAGCGTTGGTAGTGGGAGAAACGTTTCGTCACTCATCCAAGTGACTTCTTCAGTCTCAGCTGACTGCAGGTTTCCCTAACCTTAGTGCCTGGTTGAAAACAGGACATGTTAGCTGCATCTAACCTGCAGTTACTCTTTATATAGTTAGGTAGGGGTCAGTCCATGTTTCTTTTTAGCCAAAAAACATTACACCCAGGTAACCTGCAGTGTTGAAAACTTGTTTTCCGACGATGCTTGCTACCCTACAATCCGTCCTGCTCTGTAGTAAATTCAGCGACATTTGACCGTCCTGTTGCTCCCATTGAAATGTATACAGCCTATTTAAAATCTAAAACTTAAAATTGTCCGCAGCCTGCTGTTGTTACCACTGTCCTGTTTGAAATGGATACTAACTAGCTAACTGAATGCTGACTGAATGCCCATTAACCTTATAACTCCCGGTGTGTGTGTGCCACATCAGCTTTAAATGTTTTCCAAAAGCACACATACACTTATCAGTGTTTCTCGAACTTTTTACAGTGTGTACCACCTGATAAAAATATCAAGCTCTCCCAAGTACCAAGCATGAAACTCATAAATCTTACAACACAAAATTAGTATTATTAAACTAGTCAAATTAGTGTCTGCAGTAAAGATTTTTTCATACATTGTATACATTCTACCACAGGCAAAGTTGCCTCCATTTTTATATTTTTTTTATTAATATTTTGTAATAATTTATTTGTAATAACCTATTCTGTTTTGAGAGTATTTTTTATGTATCTGTATTATATAATACATACTCATTAAAAGTGAATCTCTGTCCAAAAAATGCAGTCAGTTTACTTTTTACTCACTATGATCATCATTCATTATTCTCCCGCAGAAATTAAGGTTAGGATATGTATTTTTTTTATTCCAACCCATTCTTTTTTTGCAGCATTTAAATAAACTTTATCAGATTTGATGGTTTTGTTACAGACTTTTCAAAATTTGGGGATTAAATTGTGTTAAAATGTACAGTGACAAAAACAGTGATGTCATGTTTTGTGATGAGGATCCAGGCACAGAGAGACTTGATGAATTTAAGAATCTTATGATTTAATAAAGAAATTTGCAGACTAGCACAGAGATGGTAAAATTGTGATGACTGATAACGGAGACGAAGACAACAGACGACGAGGACAGGGAGGAACAGGGGTTTATATGCACCAAGGAGACAGTCATAGAGAACTTGGGACAACTGGAGACATTTAAGGATGCAGGGACTGACAGAGACAGGGAAGAAGTCTCATCGTGACGTGTAAAGTTTATTTTGCCTGGCTGGGCAGCTCTCTGGGTGCTCAGCACACCCAAAGCTCTGATCCTAGAATCGCCCCTGATATACACACACACACACACAGTGTTGGGATTACACTTTTCCTGTTTCATGTTAGGCTATGCCCTCTCTATTTTTGGTAATTCCACGACAGTGGAAACCCAAACAAAACACGCAGTAAGAGGCTCTAATGCCTGTGTCCCAATCTCGCGGCCCATGTCACCTCTACTTGTTTATGTATGTTTAAAAATTATTATTCAAAAAATTATTTAATATTAGGGCAATAGGCAGAGTGTTACAGGCATAGCCCTAAGGAATGTAGCCTCACGAGCAGTGTAGTTAAAATAAAACCAAGAACAAGTCCAACCAAACTTACATTACTGTTCAAACAAACTTAATGAGCTCTAAATTTGTGTATGGATTACTATTTAAATGAAAGAATTCAACCAACATCTTCTTACTCTTAAAAATTTACAATTAGACAACATTAAGATTAATATCTAAAAGTGATAAGACATCATAATCTGAACATGTGAAAATAAAATGATTAAAAACATTACTGTGAATCCATGAAACAAATTCAAATGATTGAAAAATGTTAGTTTACATATTTCATACTACTAAAAAACAAGAAAGAGAATAAAATGGATAAATCAATTTGCGTTGACCTTAAACATCAACAACATGAAAAGTCAGATGAGAATTTTTTTGCTCTAGTATGATTTGCATGCGGTTATACTTTGCTGTATTATTCAATTAGTTTCTATTAAATTTTAAGCTGTTATTACACAAAAAGAAAGCACCTTAACCTGCCATTTCAACAAATTAAACACATGGAAGAAACTTTGTAAATATGAAACAGGATTATAACAGGAAAGAAATGAACAAAATCTGTTTTATTGATCATTAATCATGCCTTATGATGTAAAAGTAAAAAGTATAATCATTTTCAACAGAGTCCTGTTTTCTAGACCCTTTAACACATTTCATTCAGACTTTTAATGGCATCAGCTTTAGAGACTTTAATCCAGTCAGAGGGAATTATTCCACTGCCCTGGAATTTGAACTTGTAGTGCGTTTCCAGTTTCTCTTGAAATCGACACACAAACCATTTCCAGTACACCAGTTTAGAGTCATCAGAGGTGATTCTCCAGTTAGCATACTCTGGACCAGCAGTTCTGTACTGTTTATAGCGAACAGATTTCTCTGAATCCCGATGAGGGTGAAATTTGAGACCGCTTGCAACATTTGTTGTGCAGAAATTGATGCTGAATTCCTTTGTGCGTCTATAGTGCCATCCTTTGAGTCCCACAGGTCGATGAAAAGGGACGCTGTGGTCATCAGGACTGTGATCTTCAATGGTGTTAGTACATACAGCTGCACAGAAGGGACACGTTACCCAGCAGCACCTACACAGCTGATCAATGAGGATTTCATCAGGCTTCAGCCTGGATTCCTTCAGTTTGTCCAAAAAGAGGCTGCTAGTTTGCTCAGTGATGGAATCAAATCGTTTCTTTATCTCTTCCTTCAGAAACTCAAAATCATTGATGTCACTGAAATTTTGAGAATTAATGGTCTCAAATGTTAGCTCATCTTTTAGCAAACTAGAAAATTCCTTCAGCCACATGTTTATGTCTCCTGTCTGATTTTGGACTTTCTGTGTTGCTGTAAATAAAGCTCGATTCACAAATGTGTTTAAATCTTCAGTATTTTTCTTGAGTATATCTCTGAGATCTGTGAAGATGTATTTCTCTACTTCTGCTTTTATAAAAGCTTCTGTTTGGCTTCTTGGATTTGTGATGTAGGTGATGAAATCATCAAAGTCTTCTTTCTCAGCGAGTGACTTCAGCACATGTTTCTCCAGGTTCAGCCTGTTCCCATTGAATGCTGGGAAATTACACCTCATCTCTCCAGCCAGACCAATGGCAGTCTTGTTACAGACAGCCTCAACAGTGGAAGCTTTCAGCTTTTCACAGATCAATTCCCCAAGTACAACAGCAGATGAGCTTCCTTCACAAAAGCTTCTAAAAACATTGTAATACTGTGTTTTCTTGCTTTCTAAATAAGTCAGTGGCTCGTTGTTAATTTTGAATTTCTTCTGTGAGTCTAGAATCCAACTCTCTGATTTAGAACACACATACAGTATGAGATCAACTGTAAACGTCTTCTTCAAAGCACATTTCCCCTCCTTCTGAAAATTGTCGACTTTTTGTATTACCTGTTTGGCTGCTTCTTGCAAATAAGTTAGTTTGTAGCCTCTTGTAGCTACAGGCTTGCTTTTGATTGCATCAAGTGACTCAATTACAGCTTTTTCAATGAGTGAACTGATCTGTTGTTGGTTTTCATTTGATAATGCATTTAATGGCAATTTAATTTGAACAACTTTTTTTTGTTTTACATAATCTGAATAATCACTAATGCTGGATATTTTCTTGTATCTGCCATTTTGTTTGCATTCATTTGTGAAACTCTCTTCAAAACCAAGTTCTCGAAGGATAGTAAACTGATCTTCTTCCAGGTTGATGTCTTCAACAGGTTTTATATCAGCTGTTAATTCATTAACCAAGTCACTCCAAACAGAGCTGAACTGCTTGTTAAGTTCTTCTTCATCATTGGCCTTATCCTTCAGCTGCTGAGCGAGCTCTTTGCTCTTCTGTAGCAGCTTGTCCTCAAACTCTTTCTTCTTATCATCCATCTTTTCACGAGCCTTCTTCTGCTGAATAACTTCATCCAGTTTTGTTTTCACTGTGCTCACCTGTTCCTCATAAAACTCTCTGATTCTGGTTTCAAATCGGCCTCTCCACTGAGCAAAGATTTCTTTGTCTTTATCATCCTCAAAGTATGCTGTCATTTCTTCGCTGATTGTTTCATATGTTCTATTTGATTCTTTTTTAAGACAGCTCACCTCCACCTTGTCAACATTTCCATTTTCAATTTTGTTATAAAGTTGATAATCAATAGTCAACATGTTGCTCCTCAGGGCCCAGGTCCAGTTTCCGTATTGGATCTCCAGTTTTCTGTATGCTGCAATTTCAAGCGTGTTTTTGAAACTGAATACAAAGTTTTCATTGAGGAGGGCACTCCACAGGTCCTGGATTTTGTATTTGAATTGTGTGAGAGTGAGCCCATCAGACTGTGAAGCTTTAGAGAGGATGGTGTTTTTCACTTCTTGGATGCTCTCACTGTAACCTGGATTAGGAGGAGCCATGGGTGGACTGCCCTCCCATAGCTGGGCACAGTATTTCACATCTTTTTGGACATCAAACTTAATGACATCACTGAAGCAGTCAGCATTGAAATCCTCCTGTTCAGCTGCTAGTTTGGTCATCTGGTCCAGTTTTTCTTGCAGGCGTCTCTTTCCATCCATGTTTTTCTCTGCTGCTGCGACATCTGTAACATTCTGGTGAACAAACACACAACTGGGAGAAAGTTGAACTTTCTTCATCCTCATGAAAGCCTGAACAACAATCTGCAGGATGTCCTGCATCTCAGATGGATTCTCTCCAAAGATGTTGATCAGTGTCAGGTTTCCCAGACCAACAACAAATGTTGCCAGTTCGTTGTCATGGCGAACAGTGATGGTACCTTCCAGCTCAAGAGCACGCAGTCCTTCAGTGTCCACCACTAGAAGATAGTCAAACTTCAAGTCTTTCTTCATCTCCTCTGATACTTTGAGCAGCTGCATGAAGGCACCTTTGGTGCACCTGCCTGCACTCACTGCAAACTGCAAACCAAACATGGTGTTCAGCATTGTTGATTTTCCACTGCTTTGTACGCCCAAAACTGACAACACAAAAACACTCTGGTCCCCCAGTTTCTTGATGACTTCCTCTAAAAGACTGGAGATCCATGTTAAAGGCACGTGACCTGCATCACCATCCATCAGCTCCATCGGGTGCCCTGATATCATCAGCTGTGCAGCCAGCTCAGGGTATTTAGACCAGTCAGTGTGTCTGCTCTGTCCTTCTATTGCTCTATGAGCTTCATAGATCTGTCCCATTTCTCTGAAGATGTGCTCCAAACCAAAAGTTGCAGACTGCAGTCTTTTGGATATTTTTTCAAGCTCAGTTTGTTTTTTTATTAACAAGTCAGATTTTTTCTGCTTGTCTGTCAAGGCCAACATTTCCGATTTGTCAGATTTGTTCTTTAAAGCCAAGACCTCAGACCACTTTTCATTATAGCTTTCGAGAATGACAGAAAGATCATCTGTGGAGAGGGCATCCATTAAGATTTGAATCCATTTCAGAAAATATTTTTTATCAAGTGGTTGCAATGTTGAGAGACTTTCAAAGAACAACTCGATCAGTTTGCAGGAAGCATGACATTGTTTCTGACGTATGGTTTTCAGTTCTTGTTGCTTTTTACTTTTCTCCTTTTCAACATTTCCTTTCAGATGATACAGTTCTTTGTGTATTTTGCTCCACTGATGCCACAGATGGCCTCGATAAGGAAGGAATTTATCTTTGATCTTTGAGACATCCATGTTATCCATTGTAATGAGATCCATAATTTTCTTAACAGCAGATTTCCCTCTTTCACAGGCTGGGTCACTTTCATCCATTCTGATTCCAGAGAGCTCAGTCATGGTTTCAAGGTGGAAAGATGGTTTCAAGCTGGAACCATCTAGCAAAGATAAAACTTCTCTAATGATCTGTGTCAGATGTTCAGATACATCTGACTGGCTTTTGTCCTTGAGACCAAATATGTATTTTGCCTTTTTGTTCTTAATATTATAGCTGTCATCAGAACAGAGACAAATGAGAGGCTTATGAGATTTAAGAAGACCTGATATAAATACCTTGCTTTCTTCATGCTTTTGCAAAGATGCAACAAGAATAATATTGATGGAAGATTTTTCAATAAGTATGTCACGCTGTTTTTCAATCAACAGAGCATCACCATGAAGATTACAAAAAGCAATGCAGTCATTGAAGGCATCATTTGGTTTTCCACCTGGACAGTACCAGGCAATCTCTGCCACGCCATCCATCAGATAGCGAGACTTGGTGCTTCCTGGACAGTTTCTGTGGAAGAAGGTGCTGTGACGGTCGTTGATCAAAGTGTTCATCAGCTGAGATTTAGACACTGACAGAGAACCCAGGCGGAAAAATGATACCAAGGGTGTCTTAGCTTTGCAGACTGGAACACTCTTTGTCGAGACAATGTTTGAGCCATCTTTGATTTCAGTTACCTTCCAGGTTTTTGTTATTTGTCTGAAAGTCCACAGAGGACACTCGATCTCCTTAGTGACTGGGTCAGGAACAAGCAAAGGTAAGGCATACTGACACTGAGAGAGCTTTGTAATCATCATCTGTTTAAGGAAGCTGTCTGAGCAGTGAAATACTGCCATCTGAACATCCATTGGATGCACACGAGTCTGTTCTATGAGATCTGTGTCTGTACTCATGCTTAATAAATCATCCAAATCACTGAAATCATTCTCAGTTGTCTCATTGTCTTCAACAGACTTTTGATCTGTACCCTTAGGACTGTCTGGTCTTACAGGAATATATCTGGCCCTGTAATCTAACATCATCAGCCTGTATAGAAAAATGTAAGCTAGATCTTTCTCAAATGTCACATGGTGCTGTTTCACAGATAAACGTATTTGAAGAAAATCTGCTGGTGACAACTTCTGTTTGTCTAGAAGATGAAGTCTGACAAACAGCTCTGTCTTTTGATGTGACATTGTCTCACTGCTGTCTTCAGAACCCTTCCATGTCTGCAGTAAATAAGCAAATAAACATGTAGTCTATATAAAGAAATTCTATTGTTAAACAGTATAGTAAATTTTATTGTCTTTAATATTTTTTTTAAATAAGTGACTTTTTTTTTTTTTTACCTTGTCGTTGTTTCCACTGATGTCCTTATCTGAGGTTCCTGCAGTTTAAAGTAGAACCAAAAATCCAAATCAATATCTGCTCAATCCAATCCAATACTCTATCTTTTGGTGTAAAACCTTTCAGCTTTTTTTTTCTTAACTACATAGTGTAGTAATTAAGACATTTGCTTAAGACACAAGATCCCTGGTTTGAGACTGGGAGGAGACGCAAAACCCAGATAGGGTTGTATCAGGAAGGACACCTGGTGCAGAAATCTGGCTGGCAGAGAGGACACAAGCTGAGTTGATGTATGACCAGGACACGACAATTAACTGAAGAAAAGCAGGGATTAGAAGCTCAATACAGACGTTTTGACACTGTGTCAAGATTCTGAAATGCAGCTGTTTTGAAACACTGCAGTTTCAAACACCCAGGTCACGTGACCATGACTTGGTGTACTTCACCACAGTTTCGACATGTGTGCACCTGCTGCTTGTAGGCAGTGGGTGGCACCAGGATTAACATTTTGCTATGAACCAGAGTCATTTGTAATTACTGAATTGGTTTTGATACTGCCACTTCTATTTTTGCACACACATGTGTAAAAGAAAACAGTACCCCATTTCTCATTATTATTTTTGCTGTGGATATTTATACTGTAAAAATAAAAGCTCATCCATTAATAATAGACATCTTTTTCTTAACAATTTTCATGAAAAATGATTTTTTTTTCTTCCCCATTTATATTCCCACTGATGCATCTGGTGTGAATATCTCATAAAGAACAGGAGGCCTCAGGTTCACTCAAACCAAAAATCCAGGCTCAAACAAAATGTTACAAAACACAGTCCACAGTAGGCATAGGTTGCAAATAAAGTTAAGGTAAATTTATTCTTGGTTCAGAGCACAAATGTTTCAGTGTTTGACAAAACCTCAGTTTGACTAAAGAAAACTGAGGGCTTAAATACACACATGAGGTGATTAGGAAATTGGAACACAGCAGGGAATACAGATGAACTAAATCTGACTAAAGATACAGGGGAAGCAAAACTAAACATAATGCAGAGGACAAGAGATTATCAAAGTAAGACAGGAAATAACACACACACTCGTACGCATAGTCACACTCAGATAAAGACACGTTAACTTGACACTAGGACTGGTGAGAGAAAGGCATGAAACACAAAGAGAAGAACATAGAAATAGGAAAAGGAAAAACACACAGACCTAGACTAAAGATGCATTAACGAGACAAGACAGGATTCAAACAGCCATAGAGAACAAAGAACCAGACAGACACAGTAACATGACTAGAGAGACAGGGATCAAAAGAAGGACTAACATCAATCAAAGAACTGAACTAGAAACATGGAAAACAAAACTCTAACAAAGAACACTGTAATAAATGTACATATAATCTTTGTTGTGGTTTCCTGTGAAACAAATATGTATAATTAGTGGCTGTTCTCGAATAAGTAGCTTGTTTGTGCAAAAGAATCAAAAGAAATCTTGCACACTTGGCAGGTCTGGTGAAAAATTTATGGATTTCATGGGTCTTGGTAGTGATGTGACGTTCTGTATCGAGGCTTCGAAGCTTGTGTCGAGTAATGGAGAGGGCGTTTCCGCGAAGCGCGTATCGAGGCTTGCTTCATTTATGGGCGGAGCTGAAAATGATGATGTACGAAGCCTCGCTGCCCGGCCGTACCACGTGACTGGTTCGGGAAGTGGTTCGAATTTTGGCGCGAGCTATGACAGCGATATAAACCCCTCAGACTCCATTCAAAATGTGGGTGTTTGATGGAGAGTTGCGGTTAGTGAGAGTTACACAGTTGACAGTTTGGAGACAGTTTGGAGAGAGTTGGAGACAGTTTGGAGAGAGTTGGAGACAGTTTGGAGAGAGTTGGAGACAGTTTGGAGGTTTAGGAGAGTGAGGAGAGAAAGTCAGGAGAGAATGGAGCCAGCCAAGTAGAGAAGGATGTCCTCCCCTGTGTGGGAACATTTTGATCTTATATCTCCCAACAAGGTATGTAAATTTCTACAGAAGATGTATTTTCATAATACTGATGGTGCAATAAAATTTATGTTAAGCTGTCTTTACTTTTGTACAAGGTGAAGTGTTTGCTATGTGCCAGGGAGCTGGTATATAACAACAACACCTCATCCATGCTTAGGCACTACAGAGCTATGCATGAGAATAAGGGGAACACCGATTGTGGAGCAAGACCAGGTGAGCCATCAAATGCCATGATAATATAGCATGCAGTAATGTCACTAAATGATATAACAATATCATACAATGCAATAAGTGACATGTGTGATATTTATATTTGTGCTTTGTTGTTATTGTCTTTCCTCAGCAGAGCAATCTCAAATAGATGAAGACCTGGTTAGCATGGTGATTGAGGACTCCCAGCCATTTAGCATTATGGAGGACAAAGGATTTAAAAGATTTGTTCAATCATTAAATCCTAGCTATGTTCTCCCCACTAAAAAGGTCATAAAAGCAGTGAAAATCTAGTTTTTACAGAATAAAATGAACAGGCAGGACTGAGGCTCAAAAGCCTCAGTGTGTAGCTACACTACACACTGCTTCACAGCCACGTCGTACTTTTACACAAAATGTTTTTTTTCCTTTTAGGCCCTGAAAGTCATGGTGGAGGCCAGGTACCAGGAGATGAAGGAGAAAGCTAAGGCCAGCGTTGAGAAGGCAGCAGCTGTGAGTCTGACATCAGATATGTGGACCTCCATCAACACAGAGGCCTATCTTGCAGTCACCTGCCATTTTGTTGATGAGTCCAGCACATTAAACACTGTTGTTTTAGGAGTGCAATATTTTCCTAATGCACACACTGCAGAAAACATTGCACAAGTGAAAGGCTCACTCATGGCAGAATGGGCAATTACTGACAAAGTTACATGCCTAGTAACAGATGGGGCTGCCAATATGGGGGCTTGTGCAAGGGCGCTACGACTTAAACATGCCATATGCATAGCTCACACCCTGAACCTAGTGGTGAAGAAGGCCCTTGACCAGACCCCTGAGGTCTCTGACATCCGAGCCAAGTCCAGGAAGATTGTGGGATATTTCAGGAGCAGTACCTCTGCAAAGGTAAGTTCTTAAGTGGCTTAATTACAGTTTCTTTAATGCTACTTATGTGTATAGTTCTGCTCTCTTGACAATCTAATGTATGCTTTTTAAATTGTATTTTGTAAGGAGAGGCTGTCAGTCGTGCAGGAACAACTAAGGAAGCCTCAACTCAAACTACTACAGGAGGTGGAAACCCGCTGGAACAGCACTTACAATATGCTGCAAAGACTGTTTGAGCAAAGGGAGCCAGTGGGTGCTGCTTTGGCAAGTCTTACAACGGACATCCCACCTATTTCATCTGAGGAATTTGGTATAATTTCAGAATGTCTGGTTGTCCTAGCACCATTTAACGATGCAACGACTAAGCTCTCTCAGGAAAAAAGGGTGTCTGGGTCAAAGATCATACCTTTGCTCACCATGCTGGATCATTGCCTCAATGAACAAATGGAAAAACCTCCATCCATTGGGTCTTCTCTGGCTCAGAAGCTGAGGATGCTATTGAGAGAGAAGCTAGATAAAATACAGACCATGAGCATTATGTTCCTTGCGACACTGCTGGACCCAAGGTTCAGAAAACTCGGGTTTCTCAGCCCTGCAAGAGCTAGCGAAACAGAAAAAAGACTGAAAGCAGAATGTGCTTCTGTAATGAGGACCTCCACCACCTCCTCTTCCTCCGCACCAACACCACAGCCATCAACGTCACAATCTGTTGAGGCTGTTTCCCACGGTACTATTGTTATTGCATTTTAGTTGCATTTATATAAACTGAATGTTGGGTTTTCTTCTGTATCTATTATTGTACGATCTACTGTACAATATAAAGCGCCTTGAGGCGACTGTTGTTGTTATTTGGCGCTATGGAAATAACATTGAATTGAAAATTGAATTGGTGGTATCTCATAAGACTCTCCTTTTTGTTTAGGTAACAACCTGTGGCGTCGCCTGGATGAGAGTGTCAGGTAGACACAGACACAAAATGTGACAGCAGATGCAAATATTGAGGTCCAACGGTACATGATGGAGCCAAATATTGGAAGGCTGGAGGACCCCCTTAAATACTGGGAGAGACAAAAATATGTCTACCCTCACTTATATAAATTAGCACTGACATACCTGTGTACCCCTGCCTCATCAGTGCCCTGTGAGCGAGTGTTTTCAAAAGCAGGGGAAATATTGTCCAAAAAAAGAAATCGCCTATGACCTGCCACAGTGGAGAAACTGTTGTTTTTAAATAAAAACCAATGATGTGTCCCCTAAACACTAATCACTGTCCTTACCTCAATGTTACAAAAGCACAACCACTGTCCACACCCCAACCACACCTCACCTCACAGTAAATGATCATTTCCATTTTAAGCATTTCCAAATAATCATTTTCCATACTGCCAGCATAAATATACACAGTATACTGCATCACTACAATATACATGTTTTACACGCTCCTTTTGTTGTTGACATTTACAGGCTGTGTGCAAAATACCACACTCTTCAAATTCATGCCAACTAATATTT